ATTTGCCTTAATGTATTTTGAGACAGATTCTCAAAATATTCTCTGGGCTGACTTTGAACTTCTATCTTCGCTCCCAAATACCTCGGATAAGCACTATTTACCACCTGCCTGACTAGAACATGTTTGAAAGTATATTCTCAATTCTAAACAATGGTTATGAACACTGGAAAACATGTAAATCAACTATATCATTATTTTTCCTCTTCATCGGTACTGGGAGAAATATCAGGCATGATATACGATCAAGCTGATCCTTCATATGCCGATAACTTTTAGTGCACCCCTACACCTGATTAACTCAGGTGTGAAGCAAGCATCAGAATAAAAAGCATAACATACAAACACATAATTTCATTATGGAAATACAGAAGTTTTAATGAAACTGAGAATAAAGTTATGGAATAAAAAATTATCTGCAGTCTGCATACAAAGTGTCTCCAATAAAATCAGCAAGAATAATTATGAGAGATACAAATTAGTTTAATATTTAAAGCACTTAAAGTACATTTTATCAAAATTGGAGACAGAGAAAGAGGGAGAGAGAGAGAGAGAGAGAGAGAGAGAGAGAGAGAGAGAGAGAAGAGGAAGAGATCATTAGTTTCAAAATTATTTAATTACATACCAAATGTTAAAAAGAATGTCTGTCAAGGGAAAGAGAAGGAAATCAACAAACCTTGTTAAGCTAGTTTAGAACTCGCTTCATTTCAATAGAGAAATATTAGTAGTCCACAGTTACCGTGGTGCATAGCTAACTCATCTATAATTTATTGGAAAGTTGTCACTTAGCCTAATTTTCTTTTCTTCCACAGAAGTGATTAATATAATACATTGTATTCTGTGTTATTTGTTTCATGTGAATTAGCTTTCATACAATGACTGAGATGAAATATGAATTTCTACCAGCATAATGCTTTAGTATTGTTACTGTTATGTTTATTTTTTTGTGTGTCTCTGTATACCTCAAAAATAAGCTGTAGAACAGTACTCAGCTGAAAACATACTTAGCAAACAGATATTTTTAGAATAATTACTTTTAAAATTGTATATGAATTTAGGTTTTTGGATGGATTTTATATGACAATGACTGATTTTCTTATGAATTAATCTATACATATTAAAAATTATGAGTAATTTCATCTATTTGTCACTAGAAATACTTTAGATTTATCTAGAGTATTGCTTTATCTTCTATATAGTACTAGAAATTATTGCATGATTAAATATTGTTTGCTATCCCTAGTCACTATATTTTCTTTCTTTTATATAAATAAATAACATATAAATCATATATAAGTATGCATTTTTCTTGTTGTAAAAGTGAAAGACAAGTTATCCACAGGAATATTTTGGGGATTGTATTTATTCCTAAATGTTATTTTAGCATTTGAAATCATGCTGCATCATTAATTAGTCATTTTTTTTGAATAAGTGAAATGTTTATCCATACTTGCTGTCATATACTAAAACATCTGTGGGTTCAGTGCACAACAGGTGTTCGATAAATATTGTAGGTAAGTGTCGGTGGTGACTCTTTGACTCTTAATGACTTCATAATGAAGTAATCATTCAAGTGTCACGTTAAAGCTCCTTTTCCTAGAAATTGCATACTGACAAACATTCCCTATTATGCATATTGGTAAAATTTAAAAAAATTCTACTTCAACATATTTTTAACTTGAATAGAATTCACTAATTTATACTCCATTCTAATACTGCTCTAATGAGCAATGAGTATAATTAAGAATGCATATCCATAACACAATAAATGCTTATCAGAATTGTTCGAATAAAAGATGACAATGAAATGACTGATTAGTTTTCAAAGTAGTAGCATCTGCTATATGAATAATCCAAGAAATGCTTTCCAATTTCTATGCATAAATTCTTTATTCAAAAGAGAGAGTTTTTCAAAAGAGACATATGGGTTCAAACAAGTGCAGACATTTCCTGCAATGTTTTTTTTTTCTTTTAAAAGGTTTTTGTTTTATTTTCTCTTTTACTTCAGGTAAAGTCTAACACCTTTGATGTTCCAAATATGACAGATGCATCTTCACATTTTAGAAGAAATAATCCCAGTATTTATGAATATAATTTACTTTGAAATGTTAAACATTTTTGTTTCCTTGCATTGATAAGTTATAGCTGAGTATGAAAATACATATAAAGCATACATTTTGAGCTGTAAATGTATATTATAAATGATTATCCGATTTCAGTAGAATATCAGTAGAATATTTTAAAGACTGACAAGTAACGATTTTATTTTTTTTATTTTTAAAATTTTTACCACCCCTTGTTGTAAAACATATTGATTACATTTCTTGTGGGGAGTTGGTGCAAGTGCGTAATACATATTAATTCATTATTTATCCTGTTTACTTCCTTGCCCTCGAGCTTTGGATTTCTCTTCCTATTTAAGAAATGTTTCCTCTCTACTTCCTATTATCTACTTTATATTTTAGGTTTTGATGTAAGAGAAACCATGCACTGTATAAGCTTGTGTGTCTGGCTCATTTCCCTTAGTGGCATGACCTCAGTGTCCATCCACTTTGCCTGCAAATGGCTCAAGTTTATTCTTTATGTCCGAGTAGTACTGCACTATTTGTAAATACATTTTCCTGACCTATTCATCTTTTGATGGACTGATAGGACACTTCCAAAATGTAACTATCATGAATTATGCTACTGTAAATATGGGTGTGCAAGTGTCATTCAAATCTGTTATCTTTAAATTTTCCTTAAAATGCCTTGAATGGGAATAGCTGGTTCAAATGGAATTTCTAATTTTAGCTTTTTGAGGAATATCCATACTGCTTTCTCTAATAGTTGTGCTAGATTACATGCTCACCAACAATATAGAAGTGCTTCTTTTTCCTGAAGCCTCACCAGCATTTTTCATTAATTAGTTTATTGATGATACATATTCTTTCTGGGGTAAGACAGAATTTTTGTATTATTTTAATTTACATTACTGTAATCGCCAGCTATGTTAAACCTTTCTCTCTGACTTCTCTGAAGAAGTTAACAGTACAAAGAATAATTAAATGGTTAGCTGGATCAAATAAGCAGAAACACTTTTATCTATTTTAGAAGAATAATAATATAAAGCTTGGATATTAAGAACAACTTGAATAGCTAGAATATTTAAGTACAACTATTTTCCAACTAGATACATTAAGTGAAATTATGAACAACAGTCTGTAAAATCACAAGCTAAGTCAGATTGTGTCATATAGTACTATCTGACTGAATTGGAACAAATTATTATGGAGAGACATGGAGGTTAAAGTGTACCACACAGTATTTTATGGGCAAAATAGTGCCAAAAATTTGGTTCTTACCATGTTCCTATTTCCAAATTTCCAAGTCTTTATCCATTAAAAATACTTTCAAAATCTTGTGTACACTGGTGTGTGTTAGGGAAAAACCCATATATGAATTGTATGACATTAGGGGCAACAAAATATTATACAGCAAAAGTCCTGTGAGGTGTCATATGCTTATAATCACTGCACTGAACGAAGGTTGTCAGAGAAGTCACAAGTATGAGTCCCATTTCAGCAATTTAGGTAAACCTTGACTCAAGATGGAAAAACAAGGTCTTTTTACAGCTCTATTCAGTGGTAGAACATCCTTTGGTTTGGCTTTCAGGACTGATATCATTCATTCAATAATTTTTAAAAACAAACTTTAGGTGCGATAAAATATGTTTTAAGAATCTACTCACAATTTTTTTTTTTTAGAAAAGGAGACAGGAAAAAAATGGTCAACTACTTTTGTGGAGTATTTTTCTATAATAAAAACATACATAGCAAATTTTGTCATTTCCATAATTTCCCATTTACTCATCAGTGGTATTAACTGTGATAGAGAACAATCATTTCTATTATTTTTCCTAAAATATTGTCATTGCCTAAAATATAAACTCTGCAAACATTAAACAATAATTTCCTATGCTCCTTTTCTCCAGTCCCTGTCAAATTCATGGCTGCTTTGTACCTCTATGAAATTAATTATTCTTGATATTATATTTATAATGTCACATACATATATATGAAGTAGAAGCATACAGAATTTATCTTTTTGAATGTAATTCATCTCACTAAGCATATTTTCATTTCTTAGCATGTCTTAGATGTATTTATTGTGGTTGAGTACATTGTAGGTATGTACAATTTGCCTTATCATTCATCCCTTGATGAATCTTTTGGATATTTCCACATTTTATCCATTGGCTCAACTATTTTGTGCATGTACATAATTAGTAGAACATTTATGTCACTTAATTTATGCCATTTAATTAACTTTTACTCTTATGGTATGGTTCAGTAAGCATTGAAAATTAAAGCAATTTCATATATATTAAATATAAACCTAAAAACAGAAGCTAATATTGCAGTTTTAAATGTTTTTAAGTTTCTTCTGTTAAGCAAATAAATCTATTTTCTTTAAACTGTTAGGCCATGACAAATGAAAATAAAATTAGTTACAGAAAATAGAGTGCACAATTGACTATCACAAGTACCATTTAAAAAAATCTTTTTCAGTATCTTTAAACATTAATTAAATTATTATCAATAATTTTATATATTTTGTATACAAAGTTAATGAAAAATCTTTAAACACATATTTAACATCAGAAAGCCAAGACAAAGACAAAGACAAAGACAAAGACCAAAAAAATCCAGATAAATACGCATTGTATTCTGTTGAAGAAAGTTCATTCAACCACTATCAAAAGGAAAATACAGAAAACTTAATTTGAATTTGCTTTCCATATGTGCTATATTTTTGGCATAAATTAGTTTAAATTACTTCTTGCACAAAATTTCTATTGTAGAGTAATCAAAAAGGAAAACAATTCTAATATTAATTTCACCTTTTACTAACTTTCTACTCTTAAGAATTTTAATTATTAACATGTTAAATGTTTTGTATAAATATATATTAAGTACATTTGGATTTTATAATTAAAATATTTAATTTTAATATTTTTGCAGATGAATTCAAGTTCTTTATGAAAAGACTACCTATGAATTACTTCCTCAACACATCGACAATAATGCACCTGTGGACAATGGATTCTAATTTTCAGCGCCGATATGAACAACTGGAGAACAGCATGAAACAACTTTTCCTAAAGGCACAGAAAATTGTACATAAGCTCTTTAGCCTCAGCAAGAGGTGTCATAAACAACCACTCATCAGCCTGCCACGACAAAGGTAAGACAGGTACTGATGTAGATAACTGAGAACACTATTTGGACAGTGAGTTCCATTTATTATTGTGAATGTAGATGTGGTTCTATATATAGCTGAATGTTATTTATTTTGCTAGAGAGAATTTGAAAATAACATAGTCTTTAAGATTCAAAGTAACTTATTTTCTGAAGTAATAGTAAAATGCGTTGCACATATATTATTTCTTTTATTTTATTATAGCACTAAAAGGGTCAATCTGACTACCTTTATATGGTAATGAACTAATAATTGCCCCAGTGTAAAGAAAAACCTAAAAGTTACAAATAAAATGGGAACAGACAAACTAAGCACAGTTACAGTCAACCCTGATTTATATAATTTTCAATAATAAGAAGAAAAATGATAATTCTGCAGTTTATTATCTGTGATTCATATTTAGGAAATCATAAATCTCTTTCTACAACATCCATTGAAAATTACTCTGAATGATGCTAACATTTAATATGAGTGAAGAGAAACTCAAAAATTCTATGTCAGAAAAGATTTGAAAAAGGCTTCGTATCTCCTGCTTTAAGTCAGATGGATTACTCAGTGCTGTAAAAAGTTGTGCTTATCTAGTTGAGGTCTGCTGAAAAAATACATCAAAAGGAAAAACTACAGGAAAATACAGGGCAAGATCACAAAAAAAATACATCTGTACCAGTATCTCTGCTGTAAAATGCTTGAATTTTGACTTGATGTTTAAATCATTAAGAGAAGAAATCTATAGTTATAGATTTCTTTTACTGAAAAAAAAACCCAGAGATTTATACTCTATTAAATGCCATTTAAAAATAACTCGCTGGCATTTTTTCATTGGTTTTTGATATATTAAAAATTTGCACAAACCATCTCCCAAAACTAACTTAAGGATATTTTCCTTAACTCCTCAATCAAAAGAACTGTAAATAGTTATTCCTCATAATTGCACATCTGTCCCTAGGTTATTCATTTCCACCACTTTGTCAAATCTAGCGTTTGTCTGACAGACTTGCATATGCTGAACATTTCAAATACATGAGATCATATATTCTGTGGCTTTTTGTAACATTTTTATTTAGCTCAGGACTCTCAAGAGTTTTATGCTCTATTATCAATAGTATGCATGTGTCACATTTTGTTTACCCATTCACAATCTGATGGAAATTGGATTGCTTTGCTTTAAAATATTATGAATAATGTTGATATGAACATTCATGTAGTCTTTAGGTCAATATATGTACTCATTTATCTTGGTTTTATTTGAAAAGGAGGATTAGTGAAATATCAGTTAATTGTAATTTGACATCTCGTGAATGTTTTCTAATGCACCTGCACCATTTCGTATCTGCACCACCCATAAATGATAGTTCAATCACTTATCTTTGTCAATATTTGTTATTCTGTGTATTTTTTATTAAAGCCATCTAGGTGAAGGTAATGTGCTGTCTTCAGGTTCTACACTCATATTCTTAATATGGTCAGTGTGAAACATCTTTCCATGTACTTCATTTTGTGCAAATGCTTATTCAAATATTTTGCCCTCTTTGCTTTTATTATTGAGTTGAAATGGAGCTTTATGTATTTTTAATAACAATCCCTTATCTCTACCTATATGATACACAAATACTTCATTCCAGTTGTTATGATTTCATTTTTTAAATTATTCTTTATGCATGTCTGTGTTTCTCACCACATCATTAAACACATATTTTGACAATTTTCTTGATGTTTTTTAAGAACTTTACTTTTTTGATATGATTGTGTTCTTATTCTTCATTTTACAGTCCCAATCTAGATGCATTTGTTTTTTTCTTTGTTGCATACTATGATTTATTTATCTTAATGTATTAAGAGTGAATGCTTAGGTTATTGAATTGAGAACTTTCATCATTTTAAAGACATGCATCCATAACAATAAATAGTCCTCTAAGTAAGTACTGCTTTCAGTTTTGCTATTTTATGAATCTCATGTTTTATTTCCTCCATGAATAAGATATTATAGTAAATGGATCTCTACTCCCGGGACAATTGTGACAAAAAAGTGTGACTAGAGGAAATCACAGGTATTTGAGAATAATGAATTCTATACCTTATGTTTGTAGACTATAAAACTTAAAGCCACTGAAATAGATTATTCTACCCCAAATAGAAAATTCAAGAAAATGAAATGAATTAGAAAGCAAATTGATGAGTCTGATTATAAATCTCTTCACTTCAAGGTTCTGTTTAACAAATATAACCAGAGTTGGAAATCTACATATATATAAAATAGATCTATATTTATCTATCATATATATATATATATATATATATATATATATATATATATTACACTAGCAATTGTGAGCCTTTAAGAGTTTTCAGTGATACTGAACAGCCTGCTGCGGTACACATATCATTTCCTTGCCACTACTGGAATACGTTATGTGTAATCAAATATATACATACTCATCTGAATCACAATGAAAAGGATACAAGGGGTGGCATTCCTCAGATTGCACAAATCAGTGGAGCCTGAATAGCATGGCATGGTAAATGTGTAGACAGTGTTAAGATAAAGGGAGGTGAATAGAGAAACACAAACTTCAAATCAGCAGAGAGTAGAGTAAAATAGATCTTAGAAGTCATATTAAATACAACGAGAATATTTCCATGTTGAAAACACAAATATGCTGTAAATTGCAAAATTTGTAAGGGAAATATTAGAAGCTACCTCCCAGTACAAACTGACTATGTGCAAAAGAAATAGTGTGATAAAATAAATATATGTTAGTTGGAGCAGAATTCAATATAGCACAGATAAATCTGTCTTTTCCAAGGCTTCTGAAATAAATAAATCAAAGATTGCCACAGGGATTTCTTGACTTTTAAAAATTTAGCATAATTCTTTGGTGACTGTTAGTCATCACACTCAGAGATACATTCTTGTTACATGAAAAGATTTGATACCTTTGGATTTTTGTCATCATTTTTCTTACTACCAACGTGGGATTTTGCTTCTATTTTTCTTTATTTTTTCCAGTGCTAGTAGGAAAATATAAATGAAAATTAGAAAACAAAAAGCATGCATTACAGAAAGGTAGGGTACAAAGAGAAGTTTTGATCCTAATGGGGGTGTTTTCAGAAGCTTTTGAGAGAGGAACTAGATCAACAATACCTGTAATTCACTTTATTAGATATTACTTGTTTTTTCAACATACATTTTTCTCAATATTTCCCTTAAACTTTTCCTATTTGTCTTGGTTACTTTGGCCTCATTGCTGAGACAAAATATTCAGCCCTCAAAATTAGGAGAGGAAAGCTTTATGTAAATCCCTGTTTTCTATGCCTGTATCCTAAACAGGGTACCACCTCCTAGGGAGGGTGTAACACTCACACCAGCTTCCTGTCCCGCTCTTGCACAGGCTGAGGATTTTTACAAAGGATCTGACCCCTTGCTAAACTTCTCAGGTTGACACGCTGTATCAACCATTACACCATCCTAAAAATTGTATTTTATTCCTGACATTTTAAATTATTAAAAAATAAGAAATAACAGCAAAATGAGACTTGCAGGTGCATCTTCATTCATAAGACGAATTATTCACTTATTTTAAATGCATAGATGTTTTGAAACTAACGTTACTCCTTATAATGTAGAGAGTGGTTCTTCCTTTTGATAAAGCATAATACTCAGATTAGGCACACCACTTTTGTTCTCAGGAATTTACATGACAGCAATTTTTTTTTTTTTTTTGAGACAGGCTCTCACTGAGCATTTCAGATTGTCCTTGAAGTCCCTCACTATGTGGCCTAGGTTGGACTCAGACTATTGGCAGTCTCCCTGATACACCTTCAAAGTGCTGGAATGACAGGCGTATACTAACATGTCTTGTACAAAATACTTTTTTTTTCCTACTTGAATAAACATTGAAGCCTGTGGTAATTTTTTTTTTCTTTTTTTCTGGAAGCAGTCAATTTGCGTTGCAAGTCTAAAATGTTTCACCTAAATAACCATAATACTTAGTTAATATTTAATGATTAAAGAAAGCATTGAAAATGAAGACGCATATTTCTTTGAGATTAATCTCTATTATTCTGTGCCATTATTTACAAAGAATAAAAATATGGATATATTTTGTGTTAACAAAGCTGTAACAACTGTCAAATGGTAAATCCTGATATTTAATTTTTGGCAATTTGATACTATAATTCATTCTATCATAGTCAATTTCAACTTATCCGTATGGCATCACTGAACAGGGTTGTTTAAACTGTGCACAATTTGTTTACCAACTGATAATAAACAATTAACTGCTGATTAAAATATTTTATGACATTAGGTCTTCCTTTGTTAACAAGGGAAACCGAGATGGTAAACTGAACTCTTTTTTCTAATGTCATAGATGAAATTAATTTAGCTAAATCTTTAGCAAGCAGTTATGTCACCCAATTCCCCACGTGCACAATAACACTGGTATTAATAAATGGGCAAGTGGATCATCTCTGTCCAGTAACTTGCTTTTATACCAAAAACTAATGATATTTTGATCCATGAAAATCGTGGAAGGCTCACATTTCAGCAAATGGAGGGAAAAGACCCCCTCCCTTATGTGTCCATTTTGCTCAACTACTCACTGCTCAAGTTAGAATTTAACAGAGATTATGTGATGCTTCGAACTTCTAATCGAGCTTCGAGCTCTTGTTTATTACCTATTTATTTACCATTGAAGCATTTTGCATTAAAAATTCACTTTGTTCAAGACAAAACTGAATTTTACTTCGTTTCATCCAGATGGAGACTGTTAGAAAAGAAATTATTTGAATCTTGAATACTAATGATCAATGAAGTAACTTTAATAAAAGTTTTTTTCCCTCTCCCTCTCTTGTGTGTGTGTGTGTATGTGTGTGTGTGTGTGTATATATATATATATATATATATAACATCATATCTATAAAAGTTACTTAGCATTCTACTATTCAAAAATGAATTTAGCTTAAAAACTGTTTCAAACTGAGTT